ATTAGAGGTGTTGTCTTCAAGGTCAGAGATTCTTTCTTCTGTGTGGTCTAATCTACCGTTGATACTTCTGAGGGACATTTTGATTTCCGACATCATATTCTTTATCTCCACAAGTTCTGTTTGATTCTTTTTCAGTGTGTCTATCTTTTTATGAAGTTCCTCCTTCAACTTATGGGAGAATTTTCTCATCTCCTGGAATTGGTTGTCTGTTTCATCTTGCATCTCATTGAGCTTTGTTACAATGAATATTCTGCATTCTTTTTCTGACATTTCTATGATCTCTTGTGCTTTACCCGTTGTTGGTGAATAAGTTATAATCCTTCGAAGGGGAGGTATTTCCTGATTTTCTCCTATTTCTTGGGGATCTGCTTTGATTCTTTTAGTCATTTGGTGGTATATTCACATCTTACTTCTTTGGAGTATGTTCCTGTAACTATATGCTCCTGCACTTCTCTTTGATATACAGAAGCTCTGTGCCAATTTCCCTTCTCTACTGTGGGTGGGAGTGTGAAATCCTCAGTAGGAATTTAGAGTTCAAACTTTTAGAGAGGAGTTTCTCTCCTTTTACTGCCAAGGGAGCTATGGGGAGATTTCCTTCAGAGTCTCCCATCTTCAGGTGTTTGGTTCTTGTATACACAAACTTATCTGCTCCCAGTGTGGATGGAGTTTGAGCTGTCAGGTGGAAGGTAAGGTGGTAGGCTACTTCATGCAATGCACTTGTGCGCTGTGCAGGCTGGAGAGCCTCTTTTCCCCCACAACAGGGTGCTGATGGGCTTAAGTCAAGTGGCTTGGCTTGGGCCTGCCTATTAATCCTAGACGGGTGAGGGGCAGAATGGCGTCAGCACATGTGGGGCAGCAGCTCCTACCTTCTATCTCTAGGATTGCAGGGTCTCCCTGTTGCTCCTTCTATCTTTCCTGAGCTGCAATTTTAGTGTGCATTGTCTTAGCCAACTCCACGAGGTATATAGAAGCAGAAACGTGGAGTGTGCAAATGAGGAAAAAAGTCCAGAGGAGAAGCAATTGGGTCAGTAAATGGTAGGCTGAGCCCACAGCCAAAACTTGGTCACCATCTCTGTTTTAAATACATATCGCCAAGAGCTTCCCAGTCTCACAATCACACTCTAGACTGGTCTTGGTCCATAAGCTCATTTTGTTCTCACAATGTTATATCTGGGGAGCCAGATAGTCATGCAGTGGTAAAACGCAATGCTCTGTGACACTGATCCATGTGAGAAGGTTCCACATGGAGTATGTTCCTGTAACTATATGCTCCTGCACTAGTCCTCTAGGCACATGTATGTCATGATCTAGGGCTGGCTGAGACTGCGGTGGATCGCGGCATGAAGACCCTGTTGGAGTGTGGTCTCTCTGTCCCTTTCTCTCTCTCTCTCTCTCCCTCTCACTTATGGAAGAAATAAACTTAAGAAAAGTATTACTTCTGTAGAGGAGTGAATTTAAGGTCTGACACAATGGATATTTTATTAGCTTTCAAAACCACCTCAAGGAAGTTAAAAGCAACAAACCAATGTTGTTACAGTGCATGACAGTCTGCAAAGCACTTTTGAATCTGTTTAATTCTCATAACTCCCTTGTAAGTTTAAGGAGCACGTGAAACATTACAATTCTCTCCTACAGCTGAGGAACAGATTGAGAGAGGCCAAGTAATTTTTCGAAAGTGGCACGAGAAGTGATGAGATTCAAACCAGACTTCTGACTGCAAGCCTCCATCTTCTATGTCAGAACAGGGATTTTCTTACCTTATTTTAATTTTTTTTTTTTTTGAGAGGTTTTCGCTATAGGGCGTGTGCGCTCACCAGACAGAGAGAGAGAGACAGAGAGATAGAAAGCAAGAAATCACCCCCCAGAGGGGATGGTCACGCCACAATCCCTTCTCCTCGCGGGATCTTGGACACGCACGCACACGCACCCAGCATGAGTTTTAAGCCATCAGGTCCGGGACGCGAACCGCGGTCGACTACGTGGGAGTCCAGCGACATAGCCATTACTCTAACTGCTGGTTCCCCTCTTTACCTTATTTTAGATGAAGAAACTGAAGCTCAAACTTGCCCCAAATCACCCAGCAAGAGTGGCTTTCAATGATTACTCCAGGAACCCAGGTGTGAGACTCACAGTGGATTTCCCTAACTCAGAGGGCCATCCCAGACCAGGTGGCCTCAGAAAGGGGTACAGCACAAACTGCAGACCGAGGACAGTGCTAAAGGCAGCACCCAGCCGTGATGACAGCAGATGTAGCTATCCCCACGCTTAATCAACTCTGTGCACCACTGGGAGGCTGTGGTAATTGCATCTATTACACAGAGGAGCCTAAGATGGTATTTTGCTAGGCTGGTATCTGGGGAGCCCCATATCGGTTCTTAGTTCAAGAATAAACAGCCTTCTGATAGAGAAGCATGAGCTGGCCTGCTTCTGACAACCACAGGGGAAAGGGAGGAATGTTTAGCACACAAAAGTTTGGCTCAGGCCAAATTCAACATGTTAAGATCTGTCTCTCTCTTTGGTTTGCTATAGGGTATGTGTGCTTGCTGGAGACAGACAGAGAGAGAGAAAGGAAAATGCGAAATCACTCCCCAGGAGGGGTGGCCATGCTGCAATTCCTTCTCGCTCATCTCGTTAGGAATTTTGGGCATGCACACAAACACACACACACACTCTGTGTGTTTGTCAAGCTGCTGGGTCAAGAACTCAAACCGTAGTAGACCATGTGGGATCCAGCTGCCTTAATCTCCATGCCACCTGCTCTGTGCAAATCTAGACTGCCATGGAGGCCTCACAGAGCGCTGTGCTTCACCACTGCACCATCCTCCGACCACCACAGTACATTCTTGATGCCCTACGATGCGTTCTCTGCAAGGTAGCTAGAGCGGCCTTTTGGTCTTATGCCAGTCATGTCACTGTTCGCTTAAGAGCCTCCAAAACCTTCGCACACTACCTGGATAAATCCCAGTCCCCATGGGATGCCTGTAAGATCCTCTGCTAAGCAGCTTCTTTGTGCCTTTGACTCCATCTCATACCCCCTCCTCCTGTCTTGTTCATTATGCCAGAGCTTCAGCAGCTGGTTTTCCACTCTTAAACATGCAAGCTCATCATGCCCCCTTCCCAACTCCCTTCGTTCTTTGCATCTGCCATTCAACCTGCCTGGAACTCTCTTCTCCTGATCTTTAGATCATTCTGGCCCCAGCCTGCATTTTGCCTCCTCTGAGAGGCCTTCTCTGACCACCCGGGATAAAGAACCTGTGCCCCTCTATCCCAGCACCCAGTTCTACTTTTTATACAGGCTCAGTATCCAAAGTGTTTAGGGCCAGATGGGCTTTGGATTTTTTTTTTTTTTCAACTTTGGGATATTTGCATGTACATAATGAGATGTCTTGGGGATGGGACTCATGTCTAAACACAGAGTTCAATTATGTTTCCTATATATCTTACGCATATGGGCTGCATGTAATTTTAGATGATGTTTTCGTATTACAATGTTTTGCCTGTGACCTGTCACATGAGGTTAGGTGTGGAATTTTCACTTGTGGTGCCATGTTGGCACTCAGAAAGTTTCTGATTCTGGAGAATTTCAGATTTGGGATTAGGCACACTCAACCTGTTAATACTTATTCTTAAAATGTTTGCTCACAGTTTTACTCTGCCCACAAATACGATGGAGCTCTGTGAGGCAGGCCGCTGACTGTTTCGCACTGTAGTACCCCAGCTTTCTGTGCGGGCCTGGAACATTGCAGGCACTCGCAGACGCTTGCTGGGGGAATGCAGGATAGATAATATGGGTTGCCCCATTATGGGCGTTGGGGCAGATGAGGGGACAAAAATGACAAGGTCTCTGCTTTCTAGGGGCTCCCATTCTTGAGGGAGGCAGGCAATCATACACCAATACATAATGATAGAATGACTTAAGTGAGTTGGTCAAGGTCCCAGAGCTAATACGTGGTGGAACCAGGGCTCACACTTGGAGGTCTGACTACAGGACATGTGTTCTAACCGTCTGTTGAATACGTAAGTCAACACTCTGTTGGGGGTGGGCCGTGGGAAGAATAACTAGGCAGCGTGAGGGGATATCAAGTGAAGGGATTGGGGAGGGGGGTACACCATATGTGGATGAAAGGTGTCATTCCAGTAGAGGCCTACAGGAAGTCAGTGAGACAGCCCCGCGGATGAGTGGGAGCGGGTACTCCTGAGAGAAAATGGCATGGTGGCAGAGACAGACCAATAAACAGATGACGACACAGCAGCAGGATAAACTCTGTGACAAGGAAACGCAGGCAGTAGAGCGGACTGTGAACCCAGAACTGGCCCCCTGGAGAAGGTGATGGTCAAGATGTGAGACCTGAAGAAAAGCAGG